TTAGTTTGTCTTAATTCTTTTCTACTGAAACTAAAAAAGTATATTATTCACATATCAAGTATTCTAGTTTCTATCAAACAGTGTCACAGTTAACATTAATTTCTACTCTGTATTATCTGCTACAAACTGCAAAGGTAGACAAAACACTAACAGAATAATAATCTTTAAAAACACCATTAAATAATTATCTGGAAAATATTTACTAAAAAAGTGTTCTCACACATCAAGTATGAAAAACAGATTATCAAACACACTGCCATTTGGGCCAAAACTTGGCTATCTTGAAATGTCTTCCACTCACAAGAGACATTGTGCCTGGATAGAGTTAAAAGACAAACAAAGAACATGGTCAAGTTACACCATAACCATCTTAATGAATGTATCTTGGAACCATTAGACAAACGATTTGTCTTTAAGTCATCTACTTCACAAGATGCTTTTTATTGGAAAGGGAGAAATGCTTCCAGCTTTATTTCCCATCTACCTGTAAACAAGCTTGAAAAAGACAGGAAGGGAAGCAAGCATAGAGGTAGGAATACTGTCATCTCGTTATAGTATCTAATACTCCATCTACCTTCATCTTTAGAAGCTCCTCCTCCTCACTCATATCTAATTCACCATGAAAAAATACACATACTGGGTGTAATAGGGAGGTACAATTCTGTAACTCCTGCCTGCTAAGTTTCAGCAATCATTGTACTACAATTTTAGCCATTAAGTCACTCAGTTAAGGAAAGGCAATGAAAAAGAAATTAGTGTGCAAATTCAACATAGTTAAGTGGAGAAGGTTTTTCTCAGCTCTAAAACGGATCTCCCAAATCTAGGTCTACCCTATTCATGATGAGGAAACATAAAGATTACACACTGCTTGTACAAAATTGCTTCTGTGGGCAATCCTTCCCTTTGTGTACGCTGTAGTCACAAACTTATTCTGCATCTCTCTACTAAGAGGTCACAAAACCTTAGAACTTCTGAGGGCTCCATTCTTCTAAGGAAGGTTGCAATGAAAAGTGTTAATTTTCCTCTACAATTCAGGTTACGTATAGCCCCACTCCATGCCTCTCGGAGACCACTGCATGTTAGTGTGGAGAAGTTCTGCACTTTTTCAGCTGAAGCTATGTACTATGTCTCTGGGGTGAAGGACAAAAAAGGGAGGAAATTAACCAATTCATTTTCCACCGGCTTCATTCACATTAATCATTCATATGAGGCAAATATGAAAGTTCTACTCATAGCATTCAATTCCAGCCATGACAATAAAATAAGAAGTTCAACTAAACTCAACTAAGAAGCTAGGAAATTTCCTAGTTTTGTCTGGACAGAGGTATTCTGTGTTGTTCCACTTATACTGAATTTCTGTAAGATTGCTTGATAGTATCAGATTGCTTGGGGACAGATAAGGAAAGACAACTCAACATACTGGCACACTTCATAAGTCCTGCAATTTCATAACTGTTTTTCCCACTATGTTCCCAATTCAGCCCATATACTTCAGAGAGGAGGCATTGCATATGATTACTCTTCCATTCAAAGGACAGAGGGAATATAAACATATTTTGAAGACATGCAAATCGTAAACAGTTAAGCAAACAACAACCACTTTGTGTTGTTAAGTTACCTTAGTGGTGTTAGCTTTTTCCTTATACATCCTTTGCACTCATTTATTATTTGCAGCTTTCACTTATTACCATGACATAAACAGTGTTTCAAACAAAGGAAATGGTCTATTTTTTCTGGGAAATGCCTAGTATATTAAACAATCAGAACATAAATTCTTCTTTCCCTGTTTCTGCTCAGCAGTCTGATATTGGAGTTACTTAGCAACAGATGAAGCAACTGAACTGTGTGGCCTGATCCACATTTCACTGTAAAGTAACACTCACAAAGGCATTATTTAGCTGCTGGTTGCCTCTGTATAGATGTACTTCTGAAGTACAAAATCCATTAGGCTGAGACAAGCCTACAGAAAACCCAGCCATCATGTGCCATCTATAATGGACTACACATTTTGAAATTAATAGAAATTGCCTGCAAGAGTCACATGATCTTGAGCACCTCTGCAAAAGGAAAAAATAAGAAAATAAAAACCAAAACACACAGACTTGATTTGCTGTATTTATACAGAAGCTACTGAAGCTGTTTAAAAATGGAGGTGAGGGGGGGGAAAGGAGTCTTCTTCCTATAGCAGACTAACAACTTACGAACTTCAAATACACAAACCAAGCCCTCATATGTCAAGTACACTTTTCTTGCCACAGAGTATTTTGATTTCAGAGAATGAATATTTACTTATTATGAAAACAAATACATACACACATTTTCCCAAGCCACCCTCTTCACCAAAAGAGTAGGAAGCAAGATGTGCCACAGCAATAATAACAGTGGTTTTATTTTAGAAGGCAATCTTAAAAACAAAAGTAATCCATAGAATTTGACAAATCAAACGGCGGATTATCATTTGCCACCAACCATTACTCCCTTTTAAGGTAACTCTGCAACGTTAGACAATTCCTACCTTTTCAAATATTATTATTTTGGAAGGTGAAAATTTTTGTTTTACAACTGCGTGAGAACTTGTTATAAGTCACCTTGATTCACCATACAAAATTACACTTCCAGCACAATTTGAAAGTCTCTTGCCCCTAGCAAGGTGAAAGCACAACAGGTTCTGTAGCTTTGTCACCTGGTAGAATCATTCAAGTGTTATTTTACTCTAAAGGTTCAACACCCAGGTGTTCATAACAGCTTTATGACTTATTCCATATTTACATTTCTAGACTAAGATTTAAGGAGCTAAATTTGGACTCTACAAAGCTAAACCAACATTGCCACAGGTTTATTTTTTCCTGAAAAATTAAGATTGGGCAGCAGTTTTAAATAAACATTAAAAAAACAACATTCATGAAAAATCAGGCAAAGGGTTAGTTTTGATAAGTCACTTGACAAATTTTCAGAAGTGACAAAATAATTAAAAGAAGTTTCCTATTGAGAGTACATATTTTTGTCTCATTTCCAATGGAAAATTAATATCACATTTCCAACAATAAAGGTGACCAAATAAAGTGAAAGTGAAGAGCATCTTTCCTGATTGTCTTAAAAAAAAAAAAAAAAAAAGATACTTCCTATGTCCCATTTCAACTGACAACTCAGATGACATTTCAGATAATAAAAAAACAAAACTTCTAAGTGCTAATAATTGTAATTACAACTGCTTCGGTTACATTTCAGACTATAAAGAGAATTAATACTTCAATGGGAGAAATGTAAGATGTCTCTATAAGGAAAGTCAGTTTAACACCTTACCCACATATTTTCCAATTATCATGCACTTATGTAGGTATTTAAACATACAATAATCTTTAATGACATACAATAATCTTACAATTAAGTAATCTTTCACATACGATTTTGCAAACAAGTTTCTCCTCTTTCATTCAAGGATAAATAATATCTTCAATTTCCCTACCTTTCTTGAGTAAATTTTTGTAGGAGTGTGCTTTCCTTCCAGGCTTCTCAGAATTTTAATTCCTCTTTCTTGTTTTTTTTAATTAAAAGATTTTCCATGTATTAAGATAAATATTACAAGAACTAATTTTGATAGTACACAAGATTTAGTTTTGATATGGGAGGAGGGGATACACCCTTTTTCTGAACTATTGGGGCAGCAAAGCTGGTGGAAGGACTACAGAACAAGCCTTATGAGGATCGTCTGAGGGAACTGGGGTTGTTTAGCCCAGAGAAGAGGAGGCTGAGGGGAGACCTTATCACTGTCTACAACTATGTGAAAGGATGGTGCAGTGAGGTCGGTGTGTGTCTTTTTTCCCAGGTAACAAGTGATAGAACAAGAGGCATTGGCCTTAAGTTGCACCAAGGAAGGTACAGATTGGATGTCAGGAAAAATGTCTTCACTGGAAGTGTTATCAGGCACTGGAATGGGCTGCCTAGGGAGGTGGTTGAGTCACCATCCCTGGAGGTATTTAAAAGACAGGTAGATGGGATGCTCAGAAATATGGCTTAGTAGTGGATAGGTACAGTTGGACTCAATGACCTCGAAAGTCTATTCCAACCAAACTTTTCTATGATTCTATTTTAAGATCTCAGTTTTGGCCATTAGTTCCTGTTTCTCAACTTCCTACAATTCCAATCAAAACCAATAAATGGCACTTTTTTTTATATAGACACGATTCTCAAATGAACCATCTTAAGCATTATTATCTGTTTGACTATTTGAAGCAAAATATCAAATGACTTTGAATACAAGGTATATTGTTTTCTTACAAACACTTCTTATTTGTTCCACTTCAACTGTTTTCAAACTAAAGGTTAGAACCTTGTCATTAGCTGATAGTTAAGAATTCAATCGCAAGCAAATTTTTCTACTTACTTGCAAGGAAAAAAAAAAAAAAACAATCAACATTAAAGGCTCTACTATACCATTAGAAACCATAATTTAAGATACTGCTTATAATTAGGACACAAGATAGTTTTATTACTTCTCAACAACTGTCTTATACTAGCACAGGCATACTGCACCACTGGATCCTGATGGAGAGAGTGACGTATTTCAAGAAAAGATTATCATAGTGTATTATTCGTAGTCAAGAACCCAACCTCCAAATATCTTTTAGTTTAGGTAAGTTTGCACTTCTTACTGTAGCAAAACATACTGGTATAAACTATAGAAATATTCCATATGGACTAAGTATTTCTCTACACAAATCAGGCATCTCCCAAACAACTACTTCTGAAACATCACATCAAAACCAAAAGTTATTATCTACATGGAACAGCACTAGTTTAACTTATACTTTGAGTCATCTTCTGAGCTATCTCTGTAGAAACATAAATTTTCACAGGTAGAGAATGTTCTTAAGCAATTCACTAGCAAAAAACACCTATTCAGAAGAAAGTTTTAAACAGAGTTTAAACAGACTTTGCTTTTAACAAAAAGAAAGAAACCTTTGACAAGCTGTTGAAAGAAAATCATTACATGTACTTACTAATTTGTTCTCTTGCATGTATATTCTTTGCAACTTCAGACAGCCTTTAGCTATAATGATCATTCCTTCATCTGAGATCTTGTAACATTGCCCAAAATGAATGTCTTTCAGTTCTCTGCATTTTGAACCCAGCTGCAATTAATAAAATCAAAGCAAGTGTTTAAGAATAAAGGAACAAATCAACAGGATCTGACTGAACTGGAGAATTGAGAGTTAAGATTTCTTTCTGCTTCTCCATTCCTCTTAAAAATTATCCTTCTTTTCAGGTTTTGTGAGCACTATACACAAACAAGAAAGATTATAATTACATACATGACAAAATGAAGTTGCTAACTACAGATAACACAATGGAGCTAAGAGCAGCACAAAAGAACTAAGTTATTTATTGGACATACGCATAAGCAGCTAATGCCTGTTTACTAGACCACCAGCAGTATATTTGATCTAACATAACTACTTCACAGGTTACCCTAAGTGCTCCTTTAACATAAGAGAGACAGAGTTCAATGAAACCTTCCTGCGTGCTTAACAAATAAAGAACTTAGTCACCTTCAGCTTTCATGATGGAAAAAAAGAGTTACTTAAACACTAGTTACAAAAAGCAACTAAGCTCAGGAAAACTCAGACAGAGGTGAACTACAGGATGTCAAACTGGATGTTTCACTATAAAAGGGATCACTTAATACCTGGATATTAATTTTATTTTTTTATTTTTTTTTTTAAAGCGTTTATACATAGTCTCTAGAGAACAGCATTTACTGCACCAGGAAAATATATCCATGAACCTGTTTTTTTTTAAATATAAGAGATCATCTGATTTTAATTAAATCCTAGAAGAGTGTACCTTCCTACATGTCCCTTTCTGCACTTGATAAGAAGTTTGAAAGATAGTAAATCTACAATTTAAATTTGTGGAATGTATGGTTACCTGCTTCAGGCCTTCATCAGTGAGTCTGTCTTGATTGCCTACATGCACTTTCTGAAGAAGAGGACACTGAGAGGCAACAGCAATAATTGAGGTGTCAGAAAGCTGTTTACATCTGTAGGCAGTATACCTTAGCAATCCAGGACAATTAATTGCTAATATGCATACTCCTGTATCAGATACATTCCGACAATCAGAAATATTGATTTCAGTAATATTCTGGCTTCTTGATGCTATCTTTTCCAACAGCTCATCAGTGACCTGCAAAGAAAACACAAATATTCAAATTTAACTTTTTTCATCAAACATCTTTAATTTCATTGGCACAATGAAATTAAAAACCCTACAATTTTAAGATATGTTTCCGTAAGTCATTGGGAGGATTAAAAGGGGGTTTTTTTCAAGATAACAGCATACTGGTATACTCAGTTGCACAGTTATCTTTAAAGAATGCTGCTCCAACACTTGAAGAGAATAACAGGTAATGGTCCTTTTCATATTTTAGACAAAGACTTGTCCATCCTTTAGAAGAAAAGGACTTGCTTGCCCTTCTGTAGCAGCACTCTACTTATGTACCTAAGGTAGCATTTACAGAGAAGTAAAGGGTTTATATGTCTCTGAAATGCAACAGGTTTCTACTTCGCCTTTTGATAATCATCCACAAAGAGGTGCCAGTGGACGAATACTACGTTGATGCTGCTAAGAATGGGCTTCTTAACAATGCAAAACAGTCACCTAAGGTAGCAGTGAACAAAAGGGATGAGAAGGAAATAGCACCATAACAGAAAAAAGCTAATTAAAAAACAGAAATTTACTCCTGTTACCTGCTTAGCTTTAAAACAGAATACCTGCATATTTTAAGTGCTAGTCTATGAAAGACAATTAAATCAGACACATGCACTATTTCCCCAGAGCTCCACTGAAGAAAAAGAGATTCTATCCATTTTTTAGCAGTACACATTATAGTTCACTAACATGCCGATAACTTTAAGAGAAACCAGTCCTACAAAGCAGGTAAGAAACACAAGATGTGTTTCTCTCTTCATGCTCAAGCTTAGAAATTAAAACAAAACAAAACTAAAGCAGGTAACACACAATGCATAGAACTCCCTCACCTTAAAACTTTAGTTTCAAAAAACCTAGGGTGACATATGATGAAAATCTTTCTAAACAAACCATTCAGGAATACTTATCCACCATCTAGCATAGATGAGATTTAGCTTTATCCCTAGAGAGGACAAGAGAGCAAGACAAATTCCTCTTGTTTGTCTATCACCCAGTAAATAAACTTTTTTTTTTTGCTACTGTTTTTCATTAGTAACAAGTCTAATTTTTTTTTTTTTTTTTTTTTTGCTATTTCATCAGGTAGCTGTTAGCTAAAAAACATGACAAATTTAAAAAAAAACCCAAACACTACACACCAAAACCCACAAACAATGCCTAACCAAGTAAATAAACGCCACCCCCCCAAAAAAAACCCTGACAATAAGCAAAAAACCCAAAACCATGAAACCCTCCCCACATATGGAGAAGGGTAACATTTGTGCTAATATTGGTTTAGGAACTCAATAAAAAATTAGCAAGATAGATTTTTCAGGGCAATGCCACCACTGATAAAAGTTAGTGAGATCCCAACATACCCAATATGCAAAACCATTAAACAACTTTCTAGTAGAAATAAGGCTACACCTCAAGGCAACAAAGAAGAAAGACTGATTTGACACATAGTATATACAGAGCAAAAAGATGGACCTCTGGTCTGAGCACGCCCTGTAGTCCCTTTTGAAAAATCAGACAATCTCCTATATAATTTTTCTATAGTGGTTCAGAAATACATTAACTAGTAATCCTAGAAGCAACAGAACTTCCATCCTTTCTTATGAATTGGTAATCTGAAAAAAAATATCCCACATACATTCTTTATGTACAACACAGATGAGTTCATATTGCTGCTTCTTCAAGTGGGTCCCTCCAATGGTTGTTCCCCTGCATTTTATATTTTCATGAAACTCTCAAGAAACTGTTTCATAAACCTCTGCAAGTAACTAAGTAACAAGAAACCTAAAGTGAGTGGCCAAACAACATGGGCGTCCTTAAAAAAGTTTTCTAAGGAAGAAAGTCACCCTGAAAAATCTTAAGGCTAGGCTCTGTAAGGATCTCACTAAATGAAATCCATGAATCCTAGACATATTTAATTCTGGGATCAGCTGGAGGTCTAAAAAGACACAGTCTGTCTTCTGATCAGTAGGAGCCATATCAGTGAAAGAAGATGAAAGAAAATGAAAGAAAATCTGTTAAATCAGAGGAAACACCAGTTAAGCAACCACTCGTCAAACTAGAGCATCCTCAGAAAAGCTCACGTATGTCTTTCAATTAATATGAGATCTGAGAGTTCTTATGAATGGAACTAACACTACCTGACACAGACCTGAGACGGGTAACCCAAAATCCATTTCAAACAGCACTTGTCATGACACTGTTTAAAAACTAATCTCAGCCAAAAGAAGCTACATTCAAAGAAATTAATCTAAGGGTCCAGACATTTTCAGTCTCAAGTAGAAAAATCTCTGAAAGAACATCACCATTTTATGGGTTTCTTTTGTTTACCTTGGTCAAAAGTACAAGTACTGAGAACAAACTCTGAGTCATCAAAACACAATTTTTCCACAATTATACCTTCATACCTGCTGACGACTACTGAGATCCAGTTGCTTCCAAAACTGAAAATCTAAACAGAGGTCACGCCAATATTTACAGACTAATGATGCTGAAAGGCAACGCTCATTCAGGGATAAATTGGAAAATATCTGTAAAAGAAAGGGGAAAAAGTATTATTTGTGGGAAGTAATTGTATTTTAGAGACAGAAATATTTTATTACTAAGCTGTTTGGTAAAAGATAGAAAAGTATTAGCATGCATTGCAACACACAGTTCTAGAACTTGCCCCCAACTTGATTAGTCAAGGACAATAACAAAAAACCTGCACCCCACAACAGCTGACAGTATTAATAAAGTCACATTAACACAATCAACAACAGAATGTATCCTGCTTAAGCAGTTATTTCTTAGACCGAGTTTCAAATGTGCTACTGAGTTTGCATACCTAAAGAATTACCAATATTAGCTCAATGTTATTTGGAAGCCATTTAAAAAGTGTTTTCATTCCCATGCCAATTTACATAGAAAAACTTTTCCTTTTATTTCTTAACTGAATTGAAAAGAAGAGCCATAAAGCTATTAAAACATCAGCCTTGTTGGAAGAGGGCATGGAGAGCGGAGCAGATCATCAGAGCAAATTGGTGTCATACAAGTAAACTAAGCACAGAATTATCATTTTATACCCCAAGATTTTGAGCACAATAGCAGCCTGCAAGAAAGAATAAACTGTAACTTTATGGCAGGCTCACAAATCAGTGTTACACTTTCTATATTCAGCTCTTTCTCAGAAGTACTGTTGTCAATAAATATAAAAACATAGTCTGTCAAGAGTTACATATGAAGGTAATCTGTAACCACAAATGAACTTTAATCTACACTTCATCCTATAATGAAACAAGGCAATTGTGGCACTAAGCTACCTGCACAGGAATACAGACTGTAAAACATGAAACAGTTCTCCCACTCAACTGATGAAGACATCAAGCACAAAGTAGAAGCACTATAGCCAATCTCAGGAAACGTGCTCAAGAAAATCTGAAATATTGGAGAGTACCCATGGGAAAGCACAGAGTTCTTGAAAACATGAAAACATTCAAAGAAAAGGCCAGGACTGTTTAACCAAGGAAAAGGGGGGGCAAAGAAGGTAAACAAACAAGAGAGAACAACACTTTCACCTTCTTTGTGGTGAGTAGGTCAATTAGTCTCAAACTAAAGATAATGAAGCAATGGAATATAATACCTGGTAACTTATAGAATTTCCATCATTGGTGCTCTTTACAACAGACTAGCCAATCAACTGTCAGCAGTGACAACCATTACTGCCCTCTTGTTCTAGGAGATGGCTTAGCTTAGCAGTTCTAGATATGCATATACCTGTAAGACCCTTTGGCAAAGGGGAGTTGGTTGACTACTCCTAGAAGATCTGCAAAATATAGTCAGGGGGAAAAAAAAAAATAAATAAAAAATAAAATTCACCACCTTCTGTAAATGCTTGTAAGATTTATCACTCTCATCTTCTATCTATGTCTGTTGGGTTTGTGTGTGTCGGGGGGAGGGGATTTCTGGTAGTGGGAGAAGGAGCTACAGTGATGACCCCTGTGAAAAGCTACACAAAAGCTCCTTTGGCTCCAAGGCATACCCACCTCCCACGCTGAGTCAATTAGCAATACAGAAACACCTCTGCAAATCCATATCTGTGAGGGGAAGGACTGGCTTGAAAAGAAGATGGAGTGAACCTGGAGGAGAGGCCATTGGCCTGAACAAAAGAAGATGACCATCAGCGTAAACAAAGAGAGCTTGTTGCCAAGAGGAAGGAGGAGGGGAGGACAGAGAACCTCAGACACCCAGTTCAACTCCATGGAGTAGGAGAAGGCAAAGGAGGTCCCTGCAGCCCATGGAAGCTAAACAGCAGAGCAGATACCCACGTGTAGGCCATGGAGGACTCCATGCTGGAGCAGAAAGCTGAGCCCGAGGGCTGGTGTAACTCTATTGAGACCCCCGAGATGCTCAACATCACAGCAGGGGTGGACCCCCACAGCTGGGGGGTGAGGAGGTGCAGTGGACCAGAGACCCATTTGCAGCCTGTGGATGTCCCCATGCCAGAGCTGGGAGCTGTGCCTGAAGAGGTCTGTGACTCCAAGGGAAGCCCAGGTTGGAAGACCTTGTTCCTGGACTTTCATGTTGGGAAGAGCAGCAATGGTGAACTGACCGCAACCCCCATTCCCTGCCCCCTGTGCCGCTGGTGGGGAGAAGGCAGAGAAATTGAGAGAAAAGTGATTTGAGCCTGGGAAGAAGGGAGGGGTGGGGGGAAGGTGTTGTAAGATGTGGTTGTTATGTCTCACTGCGCTACTCAGAAGAATGGCAATAAAATAAATTGATTTTTCTTCCCCAAGTTGAGTCTGTTTTGCCCGTGACCATAACTGATGAGTGAGCCATCCCTGTCCCTCATCCTAATCTGTGGCCCCATTGTTGTGATTCCCTTCCCATCTCACCTGGTGGGGGGAGTGAGTGCAGGACCCCATGGTCCTACCTATGGGTGAAACCACCACACTATGAAAAATTCACAAGCTCTTATGCAAGACTCCTCACAGTGCTGAAGGATTGTGCATGAACGCTGTTTTCCTGCAGGCCTTGGCCTGACCATTACTATAGTCAACGGATGTTTCTTCTTAGGGAACCAGTTAAACACAGGCAGATAGAAATGCAGATGAAACAATCAATGCCTGCTTCCTCCCTGCAGTTCTTTGTACTGCTGAATCCATGCACAGAGCAAAGGGGTGGCTGTGATAAGCACCCAAAAAACACCCTCACCCCCAGTCAAGCAGGAAAAAAGCAGGGAAATAGTAAATGGTAATTTGGCACTGGACA